TTCCAGCATTTCATCAAAAGAAGGCAATAATTTAAAGGAGAATGAGAAACTCAATAAACCTCTTTTTGAAAAAATCTGACAGTATTCAAGTCTTAGGACAGACATCCTTTCCTGACATTCCTGGAAACGAAGAATAGGCTTTATAACTACATCTTTGACCCCACATGGCTCTGCTCTCTTTGTTTTCTCTAATATTTTTAATCTAGTCCCTCTTTTTCAAAATTTAAATTAACTGGGCTGGACTATTTACCTAGTGTCTAATTGAAATTTGGGGCTATATCTAGCATATCGCAACTATTCAATTGCTTTGTAAGTGCATCATGTCTCTAAAATGCTCTGAAAGCTTCAAAAATTAAATGAAATAGTGCTATTAAATGTACATAAGATGAAAATGAGTTTTTCAATTAGTGAATATAAAAGTATTCAAATTTAATATATGAAGATAGTTTTATCATCTTGCTCATGAGGTAATCACTTCTACTTTCCCAAATGATTATAATACATAGGATCTGATTCAGAGGGATTATATTTTTAGCCCACATAAAAATGTTTTCTCTTATTCTAAAATGTTACCAATCTTGACTTCCAGTAAAGATGGTGGCGTAGGTAAATGCGGTATTGCGTCCTCTCACAACCACATCAACGTTACAACTAAACTACAGAACGACCATCATTCAAAACCACCTGAAATCCAGCTGAGTGGAAGTCCTACAACTATGGAATTAAAGAAGAAGCCGCATGGAGACTGGTAGGAGGGGCAGAGGCGGAGGGCTGGTCCCACACCCACGTGTGGCGGATAAAAATCAGGAGGACACCTCAGCTGGGAAAGTCCTTCCTGAGGACTGAGGGGTCCCGGTCCCATACCAGGTGCCCCGCTCAGGGTTCCAGTGCCAGGAAGAGAATCCCCGTAACTTCTGGCTGAAAAAACCAGCGGGAACTGAGGCTCAGGGAGGCTGAGGCTGCTGGAGCCCCAGGCAGCTCCTCCTAAAGGGCCCATGCGTGGACTTACTCAGACAGGTACCCTACAGGCTCCAGTGTGCGGGAGGCAGCTTGAAAGGCACCAGAGACAAGTGAGGAAGAACTGAGTTGTTTAGCATCAGGGTGAGAGCTGGAGGGGTAGCTTTCTACTGGAAAGACGTGCTGGCAGAGGCCATTGTTCCTTTGGAGAGTCCTTTCCCAGGGCAGCAGACAAGCAGCCATATCTGGGACTCCAGCAACCTGGCTCATACTGGTAGTCCCACCCTGGTGACTCCCTGAGGCCCCGCCCCACCCAATTTTCAGGCCCACCCAAGCTGTTGCCAGTTGCTTCACCATAGGATTGGTCTGTCTTGGATCCTGCTTCAGGTTTTCCTAAATTTCTTTCAAACAAGCAGCATCTGGTCTCAGCTAGCCCCATACCTCTCATTAAGTAATACATAGAAACAAACACAGGGAGGCAACCAAAATGAGGAGACAAAGAAACAGGTCCCAAATGAAAGAACAGAACAAAACCCCAATAAAAGAACTAAGCAAAATGGAGATAAGCAACCTAACAGATGCTAAGTTCAAATACTGCTTATTAGGATGCTCAATGAACTTAGTGAGAACCTCAGTGAACTTAGTGAAGGTCTCAAGAGCATAAAACAGGACCAGTCAGAAGTGATGGATACACAGTCAGAAATGAAGGAGGCATTAACTGAAATAAAGAACAATTTACACAGATTCAATAGTAGAGTACGTAAATCCAAGAAGCAAACCATCGACTTGGAATATAAGGAAGCAAAAAACACCCAATCAGAACAGAAAAATGAATCCAAAAAAATGAGGATAGTGTAAGAAGCCTCTGGGATAACTTCAAGCGTGCCAACATTCGCATCTTGGGGGTGCCAGAAGGAGAAGAGAGAGAACAAGAAATTGAAAACCTGTTTGAAACAATAATGGCAGAAAACGTTCCTAACTTGGTGAAGGAAACAGACATACAAGTCCAGGAAGCACAGAGAGTCCCAAACAAGATGAACCCCAAGAGGCCCACACCAAGACACATCATCATCAAAATGCAAAAGGTTCAAGACAAAGAGAGAATCTTAAAAGCAGCAAGAGAAAGGCAGCTAGTTACCTACAAGGGAGTTCCCATAAGACTGTCAGCTGATTTCTCAAAAGAAACTTTGCAGGCCAGAAGGGAGTGGCAAGAAATTTTCAGAGTAATGAAAAGTAAGAACCTACAACCAAGATTAGTCTATCCTGCAAAGCTGTCATTTAGAATCGATGGTCAGATAAAGAGTTTTCCAGAGAAGGAAAAGCTAAAGGAATTCATCACCACCAAACTGTTATTATATGAAATGTTGAAGGGCCTTCCTTTTTTTTTTTTTTTGGTATGTGCCCCTAGTGGGAACCAACCCTGGGACTCTCTGGTCCGCAGGCCAACGCTCCAACCGCTGAACCAAACTAGCCAGGGCTGAAGGGTCTTCTTGAAGAAAAAGATAAAAATATGAAAAACAAAATGGCAATAAATACATATCAATCGACAACTGAATCTACAAACAAAATAAATAAGCAGAACAGAAACATTATCATAGCCCTGGCTGGTTTGGCTCAGCGGTTACAGTGTCGGCTTGCGGTCCAGAGACTCGGGTTCTGTTCCCGCTAAGGGCGCGTACCTCGGTTGCAGTTTGTCCCCGGCCCTGGTTGGGTCATGCAGGTGGCACTTGATGTGTCCCTTTCGCCCTGGCCGGTTTGGCTCAGCGGTTGGAGCGTCGGCCTGAGGTACAGAGATGTGTCCCTTTCATGTCGATGTTTCTGTCTTTCACTCTCCCTCCCACTCTATCTGAACAAAATATTGAAAAATGTCCTCGGGTGAGGATAAAAAAAGAAAGAAAAAAGAAACATTATCATAGATACAGAGAACATTTTGTTGGTTGCCAGATGGGAGAGGGGTTGGGGGAATGGGTGAAAAAGGTGAAGGGATTAAGCAGTACAAATTGGTTGTTATAGTGACTAACCTCAAAAGGAAGAAGGGGCCCTGGCCAGTTTGGCTCAGCGGTTAGAGCGTCCGCCTGTGGTCTGGAGAGACCCGGGTTCGGTTCCCGCTAAGGGCATGTACCTCGGTTGCAGTTTGTCCCCAGCCCTGGTTGGTCGTGCGGGTGGCAGCCACTCGATGTGTCCCTTTCACATCGATGTTTCCCTCTCTCTCTCTTTCTCTCTCTCCCTCCCACTCTGTCTGTACAAAAAATGGAAAAATGTCCTCGGATGAGGATAAAAAAAAAAAAGGAAGAAGGGGTTGGGGGATGGGAATAAATAAACCAAAGAACACATGTATATATGTATATATAACCAATGGACACAGACAACAGTGTGGGGAAAGGCAGGAGGGGGGTGAGAGTGGGGAGGAGGAGGTCAATGGAGGAAAAATAAGGAACATCTGTAATACATTCAACAATAAAGATGAGTTAAAAAAATAAAAATAAAAAAAAATAAAAAAATAAAAAATAAAATGTTACCAATCTTGTTTTCCGTTGCACAAAGAATGGTTTTACGTTTACTCCCTTTATTGCTTTTAAATTTATGGTGCTACTAATTTCTTGCCTTTTATAATAGCTGATACTCCCCAGCCCTTTTGATTATGATTAGCTTGACATTTATCTGCAAACTTCAAGGGCAGAACAGAGCAGAATTTACAACATTCTTCATATGGGATCAAGCCGAAACCAAAGGAAAAACCAAAGGGTTTTTATGTGAATCATCCAAGCTAAAATCCCTTATTTTAACCTTAGATTGGAATCAGCAATGATTTTTACTGCTGTTTTCACTAGTCATTCCTTTGAGGCTGAATCACAAGTGTGCTGAGCATGTGCACTGCTGACAACTGGATTTCTCAAACAGGAAGCACCAAGAAATATTTTCTCCTCTTACTTAGGTTGCTTTTATTTAACATTCTCAAGAATGATTACCTGAGTTCAAGGATCATATTTAGATCAATTCTTACACAGAAGAAAAAATACTCATTTCACAACTAAGATAAAGCCAAAGTTTTTTCTAGCTAAGAAGTTAGTTCCCAAGCTACTCCTAAACTACCTACTCTCCTACAGGGAGCAGAACTGGTATGGCCCAGAATACCTGTTCCTTATTGTATAGGTATGAAAATATTGCCTAAGCAAAACTGGAGGACACACCAAATAAAGTGAACAGTGAAATGACAACATTCTTAATAATTAAGCGCTAAATAGGCTACATATTAGACCAAATTTCACTTAAAGTATACTTGGAATCTTGTACATGAACCTATGATAGAAACACAATCAATGGGAACATTAAGACAAGAGAATAAAACTATAGAAGAAAAATAATTTGTACAAATACAAAACACAGATATATATATAAGATTTTTTTTAAAAACTGTGATGACACATTTTTGGTTCAAAAGTATGCTTTCACATTACAGATCTCATTTCTCATCCTTAAGCAAAGTTTGGTATAGAGGACACAGGATTTCTTTATCTTTTGTATCTTTCTTTTGCTTTTCCCTCCTAGTCTTTTTTTTTTTTTTAATCCTTACTTTTTCCATTTATCTTCAGACAGTGTGGGAAGAAGGGAGAGAGAGGGAGAAAGACGGAGAGAGAGAAACATAGACATGAGAGAGACAAATCAACTGGTTGCCTCCCACATGAGCCCGACCAGGGCCGGGAATCAAACAGCAACCAAGGTATGTGCCCTTGACTGGAATCAAACCCGAGACTCTTTGGTCTGTGGGCTGACGCTCTAACTGCTGGGCCAAATTGGCCAGGGCCCTCCTAGTCTTACAAATTCCATACTATCCTTTAGGAGGCATGTTAAACACCTCCCCCTCAATGACCTTCTCCCCAGTGATTAAATTAAGCTGCTCTCAACATTTTATATTTATACCACCACCTAGCTAAAATCTCTAAAATGCTAGACTTCTTGGGAGAGCATTCTAAAAATCCCTTACATAAAATGAAGTCTTCACCACCCTGTATGTCAAGAGTTTAAAAAAAAAATCACAGTCACCTGAAGTCAATACAAGATCTTTTCTGGAAAATACTGGAAAACTTGGTATGCAGATAATTAAAAGGACAACTGACACAGTTGCTGGAAGTGTTTGGCTAAAAGTCTCATAAGTTACATCTCAAAATTTAAAATCATCTCACTCTTTTTCTCAACTTCTGTTTGTCGTTTCTTTTTCTTCACCAGGGTCACATACCATCTGGTAAACATAGCAGCTGAAGACCCTGCTGGGTTTCTGTTCGATGTGTAGGACCAAGTCTCTGTCAAAGTAGACTTCATGGTTATATGTCTGCAATACAAACACAGTCAAATGGAATCTCCTATTGGAACCATATTCACTACTTGTCACTAAAATGTCACAGCACCTATGCTAGGGATCTTCAAATACACACTTGGAGGCAAAATAGCTGCCAGAAATGGTTTATTTTTTATTACTTGTGGATATGCAGATTACTTATGAGAAAAGCATGACACAAAATGCTGAGAAAGAAAGAAGAGTCCTGGACTTAGATTCTAAGTCCTGAACACCCAGATTCTATTTCCAACATTGCAACTATTTTACCATGTGACAGTGAGCAAGTTGCTAAACCTCTCAAGTTCTCCACTGATAAAACAAGGATTAGATATAAAGTAAAGTCTACTATTTCTTATAACTTTTATATTCTGCAATACTCAGAAGGGTAGACAAATCCTTCCAAGAGTGCAAACCCTACATGCCTAGCTATGTATGGCCTCTGTTAAATAACTTGGGAATTCAATACAGTATACTTTTATTTTTTCAAATACTACCAAACTTTTAAAATAAGAGAAAAACAAAGACTATGGTAAGGAAATAGACAGCATGTCTCAGGAAAAAACAAGAAGCTTTATCTTTAAGACCACTGGTAAGGCGACATCCTCTACTCCCCAGGGGAGGAAGTCTTCAGAAGTACTCATCTTGTCCTGCATGTAGTCCAATAATCTCTTTCATGTGGTCATTGGTCTAGGTGAACTTGGACTGACACAAACATAGTAACAACTGTTTCAATAAACATCACCTATAAAGAAAACCCTTACAACTTTGTATTCCGTGAGCTATACTCACCACATCCCATGACTCCACTAGTGGAATGCTTTTAAGTAAAGTTCCATATTCATTACAGTGGAAATCCAGGTGAGCTTTCCCTTCGGCATCTATCTGAGTAACAGCCACCACAGAAAGCAAATCCAATTCATCTTCATAGTCCACAATTTTGAAAGTCTTGGGAAACAGATGGATAAGGCAGAGGAAAGGAAGGACAAACCCAGTTATTTAGTTAGGAGTATCTCTACATTTGTGGTTCAACTATTGTATTACTTATAAAAAATGTTAGAAAACAGGATGAATGCGTGAGAACATAGGGAGAATTGTGTCTCTACTTATGTGCCTAGTAAAACACCAGTCTCAAGATTTTCAAGACTTAAGCAGTATCCTACAGAATCTGACAAACAGAACCAAATCTATATACATCTCAGCCAAATTATAACTGAAATTCTCTACTATGACAGCAAACCAAATTCAAGAGGCATTCAACGGCTGTCTCTGACATGTGTGTTCGCTGGTTCCCAGACACAGCTAAATATACAGAGCTCAGTTCTGAAACCTGAAGACTGCCCACTGTGTTGGAAGGTTGTTACAACAGAAAAAGCACGTCATTTCAGTAAGAACTTAAAGCCCATCACATACTATTTATGACTCTATTTGTCATCCTTTTTTTTTGAAAAACCCTTCTTGGTTCCCTAAAGAAAGTAAAAATCCAGCCCACACATATGTATATGTACACATATAAAATTTCCATTGAGTTACCTGACAGATTCCATTCACTGCAAATGTATGTTGAATGAGCACAATCAGCATTATAATCAAAATACAACTTTATATGTTATCCTTCACAAGGGTCACCTTTAGAAGTGTGGGAGAGTAATTTCCTGGCCCCTAAATAAAATTTCCAACAGGCCCATGTCCCTCTTAGATAATACAGTGTCCTACTATCACTTTAAGTTGCAAATCTCAGTTTGGCATTTAGAAATGTTTAAGCCGCCCTGGCCAGTTTGGCTCAGCGGTTAGAGCGTCGGCGTGCGGTCCAAAGAGACCCGGGTTTGGTTCCCGCTAAGGGCACGTACTTCGGTTGCAGTTTGTCCCCGGCCCTGGTTGGTCGTGTGGGTGGCAGCCACTCGATGTGTCCCTTCACACTAGTTTGGTTTGTTATCTCTGGCTAAATTAATACTTTTTTTTTTTTTAAGAATAGTTTGATTTTTAGAGAAAGAGGGAGAGGCAGAGATGGAAACATCTATGTGAGAGGACAACATCGACTGGCTACCTCATGTATGCCCCCTACTAGATACTGAGCCTACAACTGAGGCATGTGTCTTTGACCCAGAATTGAACCAGCAACCTCCTGGTGCACGGGACGACGCCCAACCAAGCCACACTGGCCAGGGCTAAAGTAATACCTCTTGTTCTGGGTCGTCATCCAGAAGGTTAAATTTTTTTTTTACCACACGTCCAGAAGCAGTAACAGTGGGTAAGTTTTCATTCTATTAAATGGAGAGAAATAAAAAGATATGACAAGTCCTAGTATATGTAGTTAATAACAAAATTATATTAGCAAATTTGTAAAACTAACCAACCCTTCTTCAACATCCACAATTCTTTCCTCAACTAATAAAATCTGAATCAGATTTCTGATCCTCCAATTAGTAAAAATACTTGTTATAGTAAAGTTTTTAATGGATGAAATACTAAAATAGGCAAAAATAAATACAAAGGTTACAGATTTGCTACTTCACTTGCCCTTCTGATTCTGCTTTAGGAATCATCCCTCTGCATGATTTTCTTCATATTCTTAATTAGTATGCTAAAGGAAAAGACCCCACTGGAGTTAAAGCATGGTATATAGTTTTTAAAGAGTTATATCTACTCCAACTTACTCTAAGTCTGTGCAATTAATTAAACCCAAAGGTAGATAATTCATCAATAAAAACTTAAAGAGAAACCCAGAAAGGAAATAGAAGCAAAAAATAAACTCAATATAATCAACTCTCTTCAAATTTCATATGTACGTGAGGCTAAGACCACCTAGCTATATAGACAAAATGAACAGACTTTTACAAAATTGTGCTGCTCTTTTCAGCCAAACTGAAAGGCAAACACATTTGCATGAAATGTTCTTATATAGAAAGACAGTGATATACAAAGGGTTTTAAAGTACCCCTGACTTACTTTGTTTTCCCTGTTGGCCAAAATGACAAAATCTTCAGAGATCTGATGCTGGGCACTATTATTTTCTACTTCATTTAGCTTTAAAACTCTGAAAAGAGAAAAAAGGATTCCAAGAACCTAAGACTTCAACACACCATCAAAATGCCAAAGTTGAACTACTGAAATAAAACTCAACAAATGAAAATTATAGTAACTACTCCGAGTTAGTTATCCTCTCCTTTTGATTAGTGTAATATTAGCATCCAATCACTCAGGTGTTCATAATCTCTTTCAAATTCAGGGATTTTGTTAAACAGAAAAATGTAGGAACAGTGACAAGAGGTGCTACTGAGGTGGATAACGAAGTATAGTGCTCAGGCTTAAGCCATCTTCCAAATTGGTTTAACGAAAGTTACTTTTTAAAAATCTCATCTCTGCCATCCTACAACAGGCCTTTAACATTTCAACTTTACCAATGGCATTATAGTACTATAGGCATACCTCGTTTTATTGCTCTTCGCTTTATGTGCTTCTCAGATGTTGCATTTTTTAAAACAAACTGAAGGCAAGACCTTCTACCAGCAAAATTATTATGGCTCACTTTATTGCAGTACTTGCTTTATTGCTGTGGTCTGGAACCAAACATGCAACATCTCTGAGGTATGCCTGTAGACATTTGCATTTTTATTTCTGAAGACAGAATGAGATATCAATGAAAAATCCTTGGAGTTAACTATAAGACAGACTGGATTAGCAACTAAGCCTAAACTAAGAGTTTTCATGATAGAGTAATATTTACAAACTGCAACTGATTTAATACTTTCCTTTTTTCTTAGGATTATACTTAAAGATTTGGGTTTTCTGAGAGCAAATGGTCTCCCTGGATCAAGAGAAAACAAAATAATTTGTTCACCACCCACACAAATCTGTTCACAGCACTAACAAGCTTCAAAAGCACCATGTTCTCAAAGCTTGAAGTCTCAAATGCAGGCACAGAACAACAGCAGGGAGAAGCAACTCCTGTGGCTAGGAAGAGCCAGAGGCCTTAGAGTTTGCCCAAGACAGAGATCAGAATAATTTTAAATTACTCAATTAGTTATCTTAACCAGTGTCAATATTTTATGGTGCCTATCTTTAAAAACCTGGCAAAAGGGCACATACTCTTTGTGGACTTTTTCTTAAACTCAAACTGATATTAATAGATGGGTGGCAACGAACATTAAAAGTAAGGTATGAAAGCTGAGAATAGTTTTTAAGACGTTTTGTAAAAGCTCATAATCTTATTCATTAAGTCCAGTCTTCCTCCTTATACTCAATCTGGAAGTAGACCAATTAACATGAAGCATAAGGAATAAAGAAGGCAGACACTGTCCTTCTTATTCAATGAACACTCACTGAGCACCTGGGTCTGTGCTAAGCATTGTGCCCAGTGCTGGTATTACAGGTGTCAGAAAAACAGACTCTTCCCCTGTATTTATGGAGCTTGTGGTTCCAAAGCTAGATATTTAAACAGATATTCACACAAGTAATTAATTAAAATTTCTAAAAGTGCTACAGAGGGAAATTCCATAGTGGGTGCAATGAAAACATGATGGGAGAGCTAATCTAACAAAAATATCAGGAAAAGACTCTGTGAAAAGACATTTAAGCTGGGGCATTAAATATGAATAGAAATTAGGTAGAAGAACAGCTAAAGGAAACAGACTCCAAACAGAGGAAACAGGTCCTCAGCTTTCTGAAAAGAGAGCATGACTGAAGTAAACTGAGTTGGAGGAGGGTCTTTCAGTCCATGCCAAGAAGAACAAAAAGCCATAAAAAGATTAAAGCAGAATTCACACGGTTAATTTTTTGTTTGTTAACATTTCTAAAAAATCACTCTTAGCTGCTAAGAAGAAAACAGACTTAAAGAGTGGAAAAGTGGATTTTGGAGTCCTGTAAGTATGCTATTAAATTTCTGTGGTCCAGGCAACAGTCTGGCCAAGATGGTGACAGTGGCCAAGACCAGAAAGAGGCAGATATAAGAAATATTTAGTAGTAAAATAAACTGCACTGACAGGATAGATGGTATGTGTGTGTGTGTGCACGCGCGCGTGCACGTGTGCATGAACGAGAGAATATGGTTGTGAATTTTCAAGTATATAAACACTGATGAAAGACAAAAAGGTAAGAAAGTGCTTGCTCCACCAGTGTGGCTCAGTGGTTGAGCACCAACCCATGCACCAAGAGGTCGCTGGTTAGATTTCCAGTCAGGGCACATGCCCAGTTTGTGGGCCCAATCCCCAGTGGGGGGCATGTAGGAGGCAGTCAATCGATGTTTTCTCTCATTGATGTTTCTATCTCTCTCTCCCTCTCACCTTCCATTTCCCTCTCTAAAAAAAGAAATCAATAAAGGAAAAGAAAATTAAAAAGAAACTGCCAAGAAGGAGTCCAGATTTCTAACATGACCTTAGAGAGTGGTTTGGGGTAGGATGAACATTTTGGAATTTTGTATACATAATCTTTGAAGCCAAGGTAATATAGAATCCTGGAGAAGAAGAAATGAGTAAGAACAAGAGAGGGTCCAAGCCCTGAGGACATCTGACAAAGTCTAAGTAGAAGAGCATGCAAGTGTACCAAGAAGGGCAGATTACACAGAGAGAGGAACACATTTAGAACTGTGGCGTCAAAGACGCCAAATAAAAAGTATTTCAAGGAAGGAGAGGACAAGTCCTGGAAGATGTGGGTAAACAAAGCAAGACAAAGTTTACTTCAAACGATCTGCTACTTCTCCTGTGGTAAAGGCTCTCACTTAGAACAAAGTGATCCTGGAGAACTAAGACCTGATGAGGATGAGCCAAACTGTCATCTTTCACTTTTATATGATCCATCAAACAACTTATTCAAATGTAGTCTTTACAAACAGTAACGATGAAACTGAAAGGAGTCAAGTCCGGTTTTTGAGATGTCAGTCTCTGAGAAAGCATCCCACAAGCAGCTAAGTATGTCAATCATTGCTCAATAGTTAGCTGGCAAAAAATAAAGATGCCAATAAATGCTACCAAAGGCTACTTTTAATTTAATTTATTATTATTTTTTTTAAATCATTACCTGAGGATATTTTTCCATTTATCTTCAGAAAGAGTAGGAGGGAGGGAGAGAGAGAGAAACATTAATGTGATAGAGCCACACCAACTGGTTGCCTCCCACACGACCCCAACCAGGGCCAGGGACAAACCACAACCGAGGTACATGCCCTTGACCAGAATCGCACCTGTAACTCATAGGTCCATGGACTGACACTCTAACTACTGAGCCAAATCAGCCAGGGAACTACTTTTAATTTTAAAGTAATTAATGAAAATACTCACTTGACCTGATTTGGGCCAACGTGTATTATTCTTCCAGAAGCATCAGGATGAAAATAAATCCAGTCAGATTCTAGAGAACAACACTCCATTTCTTGGATCCCATTTTTAGCCTGAAGTTGGAAAAAAATATTGAAAATAAAGATTAAAATAAAATAAAATATTTTTTCAAATCTAACAGCAGTGATGGATCAGTAAGTCAAAGGTCAAGGAAGAGAAAATATAAACCAGTTGAATTGGGCTGTGTATAAGGGCTGAATTAGGACATTTAACTTGAGAAATCCAGAATATTTAAATTCAGAAATTTTATAGATTGACCCTGTACCATACATTATACCTCACAAATAATAACTTAGTCAAACATATCCCAAGCGCACCTAATTTGTGCCAGGCACTGAGTTAGATGTTTTACAATCATTATTTCATTTGATCTTAACAACATCCAAAGCATATATTGTTATCTTCACTTTCTGGAGGAAAAAACAAAGAGTATAAATCATTTGCTCAATGCTTTGCGCCTACTAAACAGCAGATCTGACTCCAAAGTCCATGGACTTTCCATTCTATAACTCTGCCACAATTATGCTCACAAACTTCTTCCTCACGCTCCCATCCCTAACAAACCGTTGCTCAGAAGAGTGGGTAGCATGAAAATAAACATGCAACCAAATCTAAAATCTCAGACACAGGTCACATGATCTCCTTGGATAAGTCAGATATTAAAATTGAATGCTGAGGAAATGGTCTAACACTGCTTAGCCTTTAATGCAAGCAGGGACATTTATTTCACAGTAATATATTTAGACATTAAAATAAAGATAAAGACACCTTCATGATATGTGACCATATATGTACATAAATGTTTTACCTATATACAGGAGCACTTGGGAACTAATACCAGCATGAATACATTAACTTCACTAGTTTTATCCAAGTCATTTATATTCTTTAATTTCTCCAATTTAAAATGAAATGATACCATCTTTCCTATTTGATATTCATAAACGTTTTTGAAATATTAGTGTATTTATTCCATTAGCACACATTGCCAGCACACTGTTTTAGGTATCACACTAGGCGTTTGTGCCTGACATGAATTTAACATAATCCTTGCCATTAGGAAGCCTGTAATCAAGAGGGGAGGCAGAAAATAAACAAAGAATAAGGCAGTGTAGATAATAAAATAATCAAGTCGTGCGCAGGATATTATCAAGCATCCAACCTAGGTGAGCAGAATTTCAGGACCTAAAAAAAAAAAAGGTTTTTAAACTGAGCCTTAAAGGATGAGCAAAAAATGGGTAGAAAGAAGAGACAGCAAATTTAAAAACACAGAAGTGTTCATCTCTACAGAATTAAATTGAGAAGTGTAGTGTCCAGCCATGAGATGGGAAACGTAGTCTAGGGTACATCACAAGTGCTTTGTACGCCATGCTTTTTAAAAAATTTGAATTTAACACATTTTTTATGTATCAAATTAGAGAATGGCTTTTAATTTTTCAGAACTTAATAAATATCCTAATAGAAATGATGGCATTATTACATTTTACAAGAAAGCCAATGCAATGAAACATCTTGGTTGCAACACTGAAATTAATGTGTCCATGATGGCATTAGCTCTAGATGCTCCTTTAATATGAAACACATACATACTATACACATCTTTCTTTAGGAGACTATTCTCTCTCTCTCTCTTTTTTTTTTTTTATCCTCACTCGAGGTCACTTTACCATTTTTTGTTCAGGGAGAGTGGGAGGGAGAGAGAGGAAGAGAGAGAGAGAAACATCAACATGAAAGGGACAAATCGAGCGGCTGCCACCCACACAACCAACCAGGGCCGGGGACAAACCACAACTGAGGTACACGCCCTTAGCGGGAACCAAACCCGGGTCTCTCTGGACCGCAGGCCGACGCTCCAACCGCTGAACCAAACCGGCCAGGGCTAGAAGACTATTCTCTTTATTGTAATATCTATGACACACAAAAGAAGCATCATCCCTCTGTGTTAAACACTAGGCAGCATTACCAACTTCATAATTTTTATTATTTGTTCAAATGCTACATTTTAAAGCTCAGTTTCATAAAAGGCTTTGAAACATTTTCTGAATTGTTCAGTTTGGATGCATATGTGTTTTTGGGTTATCTACTCTTCTGACTGACAGGTGGGGAGGTAATGGGCATATGCCTTGTTATGTCACTGCAATAAAGCTGGCTGTCAAAAGGATTAAAACTTCCCCTGGATTTGGCAATTATTATGAATATGTTAAAATACAGACTTGACTGACTATATAATCAATTATTATAGAAGGAGAGTATGTGACAGGCATGTTTGACATGGATATTGAAGGTCTCTCTCTCTATACACACACATGCACACAAAAGAATATGTAATATCAGTTCTTATATAAGAATATGTACTAAATGTATAGAATGTAAACTGTGTAAGGTTTGACTGGAAGGAAATGTTAAGTAAAAAGAGATATGAGCCCTGGCCGGTTTGGCTCAGCGGTTAGAGCATTGGCCTGCGGTCTGGAGAGACCCAGGTTCGGTTCCCGCTAAGGGCACGTATCTCGGTTGCAGTTTGTCCCTGGCCCTGGTTGGGTCGTGCAGGTGGCAGCCACTCGATGTGTCCCTTTCACATCGATGTTTCTCTCTCTCTCTCTCTCCCTCCCACTCTATCTGAACAAAATATTGAAAAATGTCCTCAGGTGAGGATAAAAAAAAAAAAAAAAGAGATATGAGAGGTCCTGTTGGCTGAAGGATGTCCTCTGGCTGGGAGGTGAACAATCAAACCAGACTTGTCGTGGCAGGAAACTGCCCCTCCAGAGTCTACTATGAAAGAGGATGTCACTGGGCTGGACCAATCAGGAGCCACCATATAAAATATGTAAATGAAAAAACAGAGGGAACAATGCTCCTGCAAAAAGAAAGCCAGGAGACACTATACCTAGTGTTCCCTGGTGGCCACAACATAAAGGGAAATAGATAAATGAACCCAAGACTGTGCTGATCTTCAGCATGGTAAAAGGTGACCCGTGACTCTAAAAGCCACTGAGTCCAACAGTGACTGATCAATATCCTGAAAGAGATATGAGTGGAATAAGCTGAGTCTGCTTCAGAAAAGTAAGTTCATTTGATATATCTAGAGGTTCCAGAAATAAATCAAACTAGATCAGCAATACGAAACAAAGATGGAATCCCCTGTTTGGTGCACTCATTCTTTTGCACTTACCTCAATCACTGTACTTAATAGACAGCATCTAACTTATCTACATATTTGCTTTCTTTTGAGAGTGTAAGCAACTTGAGGGAAGGAAATGTAGCCTGGCCATGTCTGGCACACAGTAGGCCCCAAATAATGTTTATTAAATGATAAATCAATGCCTAAATCACTTTTTTAAATGAAGAAAAATGGATTTAATGGGTAGACATTTTTATTGTTTTACCATGTACCATTTCTTCCTATTTTGCCATAAACAACTTAAGCAACTTAGAATAGCTTTGAAAGTTCAAAGTGTTTCATGGCTTACATTGTGAACATCAGAATTCTACCTGGTTCTGTTCTGGAAAGCAAACAGCAACAAACCATGAAAAAGCAGAAACAATAACACATTCCAGCAATTTCAGAAGCAGCCTGAAGATATTTCACCAACAATTCCCACCATGAAACTTCAGAGATGTTTTGCATGGGATCCCCTGCTGGGAGACTGGTAAGGAAAAAAAACCCTAAGTAATCTCTGGTACCCTAAGAATTTAAAAATGTTAAGGTTTTTAAATTCTAGGTAGTACATATGAGCCTTTGCTATATTCTTCTGTACTATACATTATTCACAAATTAATACAAACAAAAAAGTTACTCAGGAACGTGAACCTATTAGAGAAACAGAGAAGAAAGAATTTCTGATACTAATTTACTACTAAAAGGTCTGATCATTCATGATTTACCAAGGAATTGTCTTTAAGGGCACAAATATGGAAAACTCCTTTCTGTTTCTTCTTATTAGGTGTGATGATGTAGTGCCAAGGGTGGCCTCCAATCTGAAAGGCGTTCTCCAGGGAGGACACTTCAAAGAGCGGCGATGGCGCGTCTGTAGAGATGGGCAAAATAATTATTAGCTTTCTCTGTTCTGGTAGCCTTGGAATACTCATTAACTGAATTCAACCTTTCTTTGCATGTATCATTATGAGTTTCCATTAATGAAAAATTACTGTGTTCAAGAAAATAAAATACTATTAGGAAAAAGGCTTACTGCTAAGAAAAGAGAGAGCTGGTAGGAAACAATGTTAGGCTATGAGTCAACTTTCTAGACATCTGTTTTGGGGGTATGTATGACCTGCAGCTGAGTGGAGATAAAAAGTGGGCTTAAAGGTGCTTACAATGGCAAAAATGACAAAGTACACTCAATAAAAGCAGCTGCCATTTATTGCACATCTGTTGTGTGCAAGACTGGGTTAAATACTGTTTCCAACTCCCATAACAATCCTACAAGGTAGTTAGGTCTAATAATCCCTTCAAATGTGAGGAAGACATCTTCTATAATCTAGTCTAACGGGTTAAATTTATCAAACTTTACAACAGCAGTCTTGCTTAGGATTTCCAGTGTAGATGTGATATTAGTCACAATGAATGTAACCAGTTAAGATAGACCCTGTCACAATGGAAGGTCTTTTAAAGGATAGCCAATACTACTATATTATCATTAGACAAGTTAACTATGGTAGTTTCGATATATCCGTCAGTCACGGTCTTTTGGAGATTGATGCCATATAAGAAATACAGGTATACCTTGTTTTATTGTGCGTTGCTTTATTGCACTTCACAGGTGCTGTGTTTTTTACAAACTGAAGGCAGGACTCTCCACCAGCAAAAACATTCTGACTGGCTTTATTGTGATACTTGCTTTGATATGGTGGTCTGTAACTGAACTCGCAGTATCTCTGAGGTATGCCTGTACTTGCTTCATTGTGATGGTCTAGAACCAAACCCACAATATCTCTGAGGTGTGCCCATATCTGTGGTGTTTCTTAGCCTTCTTCTTTGATGACAATTAATTTTAGGTAGAGTGTAACAGATTTGCTCTCACAGGAACACATGAGTGGAAGGTACAGCAGTTTTAGAAGATCAGAATTCCTTTTGGGCAGCCTTGTGAAACACCACATGATCTGTTTGGGCACTTGGCCCATCTATGACTCTTCTGTTTACCCCTTTACTTGAGAGTTTAATTTTGGTTTATGAGGCCACTACTGTCAGTAAAGGGGCTTATCTTAGGGAGACCATTTACATGGGTCATGTAATTATAGAAATGTGTCCTTTATTAGGCCTCTTCATAAGCACAACTTACGACAACACACAGGAGGAGAAAGAAGAGACAAGTATAAACATATAAAATATATTTAAAGTGTTTTTTAACCTTTTAAGGGTAATGTTCTTAATAAAGAGGTCTTTTTAAGTAATAAGAAAAATATGAGCACCCCAATAGAAAAATGGACAAAGAATATCAGTAAGTAAAGTATAAAGGAAATCTAAACATATACAATAATATGGTGCCTACCAAATAATAGTGGATGAGGAAAAGAGGAATTATGAAAAGGAAAATATAGTAATGAGAATTTAAATTTGGCATTAAAATTTTAAGTAGATAAGTTGTAGAGAATATAAAAGAGGTTTTCAAAAAAAATTTTTTAATCAATGCAAAAAGATGTAGTTAAAAAGAAATATTTTCCCCAGCAGTTACTAAAAATGGTCCGAAAGTAGCAGGACTCTACTCACCACAGCTCTGATGGGTCCCCATGAACCCTAAGAGCCCAGATTTTGATCTTTAATACTATTCTCAATTTTTTTTTTAATTTATTTTTTTATTTTTTTTATCATCCTCACCCGAGGACATTTTTCCATTCTTTGCTCAGATAGAGTGGAAGGGAGAGAGAGGAACAGAGAGAGAGAGAAACATCGATGTGAAAGGGACACATCGAGTGGTCGCCACCCTCACAACCAACCAGGGCCGGGGACAAGCTGCAACCGAGGTACGCGCCCTTAGCGGGAACCGAACCCGGGTCTCTCCGGACCGCAGGCCGACGCTCTAACCGCTGAGCCAAACTGGCCAGGGCTATTCTCAATTTTTAAAAAGTATCCTAGAAATTTTCAGAGTGTAGCTGGTTCCATAGCTTGTGGTGAGGAAATTTTAGGATAGGTGTAAATCATCCAGTTGTCACAATAAATACTATGTAGAAGGATGTCTGGGTGGTGGTAAAAGAATAAAGAGCTAGCAAAAGAGGCTCCTACTGGCTCGACTGTGAAAATAGTAGTATTTAAAATAATTATGAATTAAAATACTTTGAGTCTGTGAAAGATCAAACAATGATACTTCAAAGGGGAGTTTTAACATAAAGTGTTCAAAATGATTGTTTTATTGTTTATAAAAAGAATAGTTATAAGAGATCATTTTTCTGTAATTTTTAAAATGGGACAGTTGTCACATTGTACACATATGAATATATCTGGGATAAATTCTTAGAAATGAAATTGCTCAAGGAGTAATTTAAAATTTTGATACACACTGACAAAATTGTCTTCCATAAAGGGCCCCAGCTATAAATAAAAGTGCCTCTTCTATACTTCCACCAATCCTGTTATCTAATTTTTTGATATTTCCAAATTTGAAAGCTGTATCTTATAATAATTTTAATTTGCATTCATCTTATCAGTGACATTGGGCTTTGTCCCCCCTCAATGAAAGACCATTTATACTTCCTTTTCTTTTGAACAATATCCTTTGCTCATTTTTTAAATCACTTTTTCTCATTGATCTGTAGAACTCATTACATATTGAGAAAATTAGCCCTTTATAGTATGTTTTGCAAATATGTCCTGTTTGTTGTTTGATTTTTGAGTTCGTTTGTGTTTGTTTTTGTTTTGCTATGTAGAACTTTATTTTTATATAACCAAACTTATCAATCCATTATTTTATGACTCTGAGTTCTGTGTTATACTTAGAAAGGTCTTCCCCGCACTGAAATAACAATCTCCCAAATTTTCTTATAGAACTTTTAAATCTTTGATCCATCTGTTATTTATTTTGGTGTAAAAAGACTACAACTTTGTTTTCACAAGACTACCTATTAAATAATATTATGGATAGGTGGATATTAATATTTATAATATATTAACATTTTAGAGTGAGTCTACAGGTATATGCAACAATAAAAAATAAATCTTGAAAATAATATGCTGGGTAAAAGAAGCCAGACCAAAAAAGTACACATCATATAATCCCATATATATGAGACTCTAGAATATATAAATTTAACCTGTAGTGAAAGAAAGCAGATCACTGATTACCTAATGCTGGAGTTGAGGAGGAAATTGACTGGGAAGGACACGGGAACATTTTGAAGTGAGAAAAGGATTCTAAATCTTGTTTGTAGTGGTTTCATGGTTATATACATTCGGCAGAACTCAAAATGTATAGTTAAAATGAGTGCATTAAAATTATACCTCAACAAAGTTGACTTTTTATTTTGTTTTATTATTTTTTATCCTCACCAGAGGACATTTTTCCATTTTTTTGTTCAGATAGAGTGGGAGGGAGAGAGAGGAAGAGAAAGGAAGAGAGAGAGAGAGAGGGAGAAACATCGAGTGGCTGCCACCCGCACAACCAACCAGGGCCGGGGACTAACTGCCACCGAGGTATGCGCCCTTAGTGGGAACCAAACCCGGGTCTCTTTGGACCACAGGCCAACGCTCTAACCACTGAGACAAATCAGCCAGGGCCAGAGTTGACTTTTTAAAAAGCAAGTTATGAAAGAGTATTTACAGTACGATTTTTGGTTTTTAAACATATAGACATTATATGTCTATAGAAAACACACACTAAGGTGATAACAGTTAACGCTATACAGGACTACGAGTATTTAAATGTTCTATATTTCATTTTCTATTTTTTCTGTAATAAAAATGAACCGCTTTGCATTAAACATGCAAATTTTCTAATAGAACATGCTACTTTTCTTAGCCAGATGTCTGAAAATTATCAATTTTTATGTTTTACAATGACAATTGATTTGATAGATCATGTTTTCAAACATTGTTTTAAAGTTGAGAAAAGTGAGGCCCAGAGAGGTTAGGTAATTTTTCCACTCTCACACCACCAGTTAGTAGCCAGGTTTCACTGTTACTAGGAGCAGACCAGATTCTGACCCCAAATCCAGCCCTCTTTCTACAAACAGGGACCTCTAGCCCACAGCAGTCCTTCACACTCCCTGCTTTGTCTTTGTCTCCTGTTCTTTGTTTTACTAATTTACTGCATTTCAATGAGAACAATGCCACCATTTTAGGAAATTCTTTTCAAAATAACATTTAGCCCTGGCCAGTGTGGCTTAGTATTTAGAGCGGAGGCCCATGCACCCAAGGGTTGAAGGTTCGATTCGCAGTCAAGGGCACGTACTTGGGTTGCAGGTTCAATCCCTAGCCCCTGTCGGGCACGTGTGGGAGGCAACCAATTGATGTGTCTCTCTCTCAGCAATGTTTCTCTCTCCCTCTAACTCCCCCTCTTTCTTTCCTTTTCCCTCCTACTCCCTTCCACTCCCTCTAAAAATCAATAAAAAAATATTCTCAAGTGAGGATTAAATAACATTCTAGTTACCATTAGAACCTGTAGCTTTAACACTCTTAACAGATTGCTGCTGGAGTGTTTGTATTGAATACAAGAAGTATTGCTGGGCTGAGTTTTCACAAAAGTGCCTAATTCAGTTGGTCCAACCATTTAAAAACTTGGGTAACTTTAATTGGTTATATTTAACTCTCAGGTTCTTTTCCTTATTTTATTTTAATTTTTTCCATCACCATTTATACCCCCATACCCTTTATTCCACCTCTACCCCTGACCCCCACAAGCATCACCTGTTGTCTGTGTCCATGAGTTCAGCAGTGTTCATAGTTTATCATTTATTACTAAAAAGAACATCTTTCGAACAATTAAATCAGTTTCTGTTTTTTGATCTGTTGATGATATGATGATAATGGCAGAAAAAAAATGATTGTTTTATTGTCTTATTCTTTTTTTTTTTATCCTCACCCGAGGACATTTTTCCATTTTTTGTACAGACAGAGTGGGAGGGAGAGAGAGGAAGAGAGAGAGAGGGAAACATCGATGTGAAAGGGACACATCGAGTGGCTGCCACCCGCACGACCAACCAGGGCCAGGGACAAACTGCAACCGAGGTACATGCCCTTAGCGGGAACCGAACCCGGGTCTCTCGGACCGCAGGTGGACGCTCTAACCACTGAGCCAAACTGGCCAGGGCTATTGTCTTATTCTAACTGTATCAGAAAACCCTTTAAAGTTTCACCTGAACATATGATGTTTATTAGTTGGAAATAAATGGAAACATCCTCGGTATAATAAGAAATGACTCTTAATGAACTAAGAATAGAAATAAACAGATATCAGGATAATAGAATATATTTTATTTTAAAATTTACTCATGCCCTGGCCGGTTTGGCTCAGTGGTAGAGCATCGGCCTGCGGTCAAGGGAGGCCAGGGTTTGGTTCCCGCTAAGGGCACGTACCTCGGTTGCAGTTTGTCCCTGGCCCTGGTTGAGTCGTGTGGGTGGCAACCACTCGATGTGTCCCTTTCACATCGATGTTTCTCTCTCTCTCTCTCCCTCCCCACTCTATCTGAACAAAAAATTGAAAAATGTCCTCGGGTGAGGATTAAAAAAAAAAATTTACTCGTGATTTTAATATCTTTTTCCAAATATTAAATCATCCTTGTATTCCCAAGATGAACTCTGGTCAGTCACGGTTTATATCTTTTAACATATACTGTTGAATTTGAGTAATATTTAATTTCTTTTTGTTAAACTACTGAATTTGATATGCTAGTTAAATATAGAACATTTTTATTATATTTATAGAATTGTGTATAATTTTCTTTTTTGTGCTTTGTCAGCCATTAAGTATACTTGGGGGGTTCTCTCTGTGTCTAGCACTATGTATAGATTGAATGGTAATTATATTTTACTTAAAAGTTTCTTAGAAGTGGGTAAATTTTATAGAATTGTAAAATAATAAGTGATAAGGGGGAAAAGATAGATTTGCTGCAACTCTTCATTTTGCAGGTAAGGAAATCCAGACTAGAGAGGTTAAGTGACTTGCCAAAGCTCACTGATCTCTGGCCAAGCAAGCCCAGCATCTCTAAGCCTTCAGCAGTTCAATGTATGAATGATAGATTTTTGTTGACACCTGTTCCATAGCAAGGAGTATGCTGTATAAGAGTAAAATGAATTGAGTTTATAATCACATTATAAGAAAAACACTTGGATGATTACAATTAATAATTTACATGACCACTTATTTCTAAAGGTGAAAAAAAATACTATATAGTAGCCATACCTGTGATTTTAATATTACAAGGAATGCCAAAAGGAGCCTCTCCTACAGTTCCAGTAGTCCCACCCCATCTGCATGCACACCCTAAGTCAAGTTTCTGTTGCATGAACTAAAAACAAAACAAAACAAAAATGGTATCTTTAGCACCTACTTATTTGCTGTCTGGAGAGAGAAAAAATAAAATTCACATGTATATGGCAGAAAATATGTTCATTTATTCAAGGGCCTTTGTGTTTATCTTCCCACCCCTCTATTAAAGGTTACTTTATCTCTCTGCATTTCCCATATAGTTTTGTGGAGTAGAAATTTACACGTGTATTACTCTAAAAGCATCTCATTAAAAACATTATACCTCAGTCCAAACCTCAAGTTAATTATAATATGGCAAATTCCAGTTTTCTCTACCTGTTCAGTGATGGCTTGGAAGCTATAGAGTCTGACCAATCCTGAGCTGTACATCACAATCAGTATTCCATGAGATAAGGTAGCATCTGTAACATTCCCGAAAATCTGAGGGAAAAGGTAGATTATCACCTGAGAAAAGACCAGAAGGCCAGTCCTCTGAATGCTCACAGTGGTTTGTGCATTTGCTTAATATTCAGGCTACCATTACAACACTGCTGCCTAGCATCTAAGGCAGTTGTAACTTAGAAACTGGAAACTAAATTGTTATTAGGAATGAGTGGTAAGCCACTGGGGTCTCAGATGGAAGCACTAAGGGGAGATGCAGCAGCATTCATTTGCTTCACAGTTTGTCAGTATCTTTTAGTGACAAATTTTATTCCTCATGGGTATAGGCTTACACTGAGTCCATCTAACTCAAAATGGACATTTACTCTACCATGCATATCCTGTCAGGGACCTATTCTTTATGCTAAAATGTTATTTATAAAGAGACTTAATTTTTTAGATAATTGGAAGAAGAAAGACTGGATTTAAACAGTAATTCTAATAAGAAACAGCCAGCTCCAGATTTTTATCATTACCTTGTTCTTTAATTCTTTAATAGTGTTTAAGTTTTTAGTCATATAAAAATCAAACAAGTTAAAGACCAAACACCTACTGAGTCATTAATTTAGCCAACCTTGAGTAAGACTTTGGTTCATTGTTCCCTTTCCGTTTCTGTGCACTGGACCCTGTCATGATTCTCCATAGAGTTCTGATAAAGAACTTGATCCAATGCCTATTTTAATATTTAACAAAAGCCAACATAGACAAATATTCACAGCAATTAAAGAACTAGAAATTACGTGAAAATGTGTTTCTATTTCTACTCAAGACAAATTACTTAGTAAAGATTTACTACCCCAATAAATAGGTTAAAGTACATTCTAAGCCTAGACACTGGGTAGTCTTATCATGCATGGTACGTGAAAGATACACTTCGATGGCAAGTAGCCACGTTGAAACTAAATCCTCAAATGGCAATCTTGGACATGTGAGAATAAATAGCAACAATTTATGACTTTGTTAAGTATTCCTGTTGTAGGCTGTAATTAGCACACACAATTAGTTAATCTACAAGCACAAAGAGAACAATTATATTTATGAGTTGTGTGTTTTGATTATCTCTTAGAAAGTAAACTATAGTTTGCTTTGATCTTGACTTACTCATGACTTTTTATTCTCTGATCCTCCTTCCCCACTTTGAAGGTAGGTAGGACTTATGTAACACATAGTTTCAAATAACGAGTGAGTGCTATATAATAAAGTAGCCACTCTATTTTAAAATTTGGTTTGTGCCCTGGCCGGTTTGGCTCAGCAGTTGGAGCGTCCGCCTGCGGTCCGGAGAGACCCGGGTTTGGTTCCCGCTAAGGGCATGTACCTCGGTTGCAGTTTGTCCCCGGCCCTGGTTGGTCGTGCGGGTGGCAGCCACTCGATGTGTCTCTTTCACATCGATGTTTCCCTCTCTCTCTCTGCCTCTTTCTCCCTTCCACTCTATCTGTACAAAAAATGGAAAAATGTCCTCGGGTGAGGATAAAAAAAAATAAAATAAAAAAATAAATAAATAAAAAATAAATTAAAAAAATAAAATTTGGTTTGTACTTTGGAGTCAAATTTAGGTTAAAATTTCATCTCCTCCATTTACTACCTGCTTAACTTCCTAGTTGAATACATTAGGTTATAAGGTTGTAAAATGCTCAAACTGTCTGGTACAATACAATTAATAAATAACTAATATTATTCATCAGCCTTTATGCAGTTTAGTATATTATGTTTATTTAATATAAACTTTAAAAAAATACATTCATCTTATTTGCTAATGAATATCAGCGGACCCTCAAGATTTGTCCTCTAATACTTTAGGTGTTTAATTAAAGACTAGTACAACAGACCACAAATAACTACGCACTTAGAATAAGTAACAATTTTTTAAAAAGAAAGTAGGAGACTATTGATTCTTTTACTCAAAGGAAATTTGTCGTTTTTTCCTCTCATATAACCACCGACAAATCAAGAATGGCAACAACAGTAAAACCTAAAACTTAATGAGTTGGAAATTTACATATTTAATTATAAGGCTTGTTTATATATCATACGTTTTATTTAGATCTATACCTTGCAATTAAAATGAGGCATTTTGGTGCAGCTTTTCACCTTTATTTAATGATCATTTTAACAAACTTTGGAGTAGTCCTTTTGAAGAATACCTTACTCCTTTCATAATTTTATAAAATAGTGGTTTGTTAATGACCATAGGTATTTAATATTATCCACATGAAAGGCATAAAATTATGCCAGAAAGATGAAAGGATGATTAGGCTCTCTTCCCATGTCAAATGTTCTCATATATTTTGAAATGAAATAAAGTAGGTCAAGCATTTTACAGGCAGGGGAACCTTTACAATCAAAACACCTAATAAACAAATAATTAAATGATGACATTACATCTTACTGTCAAAATATTAATGTTGCAATTATATCAGAAATGAGTTCTTACCTTTTTGTTGATCTCCAGAATCCCTATGAGTGAAAAAGGTAGAACATGGAACACTGCGAGGTACAGCAAGACAGGCTGTTGAATGCCTGCCTAAAAGGAAAGACTGAAGTTATAGGCAGCTCTCAAGAGTATTTCAGAAACACTCTGTTTTCATGAGTTGAAAACATCCACCTGTCCTAGCATGCAGTTATAGATGTTTTCATGAATTGAAAACATCCATCTATCTACACTGCAAAGTTATTTAAACAGGAAGTCATACATGTTTAAAATATGTCCATGAGCCCTCTAGTCACACATATGCACATTCACACAAAAATTATAAAAGTAAACAGCCCTGCCCAGTTTTGCTCAGTGGTTAGAGCGTCAGCCCGCAGACCAAAGAGTCCTGGGTTCAGTTCCCACTAAGGGCATGTACCTCGGTTGCTGTTCCTTCCCGGCCCCAGTTGGGGTTGTGTGGGTGGCAGCCAGTCGATGTGTCTTTCTCACATCAATGTTTCTCTCTCTCTCTTCTTCCCTCTCTCCCTCCTGCTCTATCTGAAGATAAATGCAAAAATGTCCTCGGGTGAGGATTAAAAAAAAAAAAGTAAACATTACACTAAATATTTCTTAGCAACAAAATATATTTTATATACTGTACAACAAAGACTTTATATATTGAATAACAAGATAGGTATTACATATTGTATATTACTATATTATAAATTTAGATATATTTATATTAATATAACAATTAATATACATTATATTCTAATATATTAAGAACTTATAATACAAATTGGAATTCTAACAATAAATAATCCAATCAAAAGACACATAGTTATCATGGTCATATCATTTGAAAGGAGTATTACACTGACATATCTGGAAGAAAAGAAAAAAGTGACAACAATAAAAGCTTGAGTGATTTCTCTGCTTGAAGAGGATCACTTCCTTAGTTTGAAGAACAAGATCCAGCCAATTTCTTTCTACTATGGAATGTAAAATAATCTGTACTACCCCAGAGTGGCTTAAAGGGAATTCCTTAAATTTGTGGTAAACAACTTTTATAGCATGCTTCAGAAAACAAAGATCATTCATTCTTTCATGACAAATCTGCAGACAGATTCCTAAGGGAAAACAAATTCATTTTACTGGATGTTTAAAAATGTCTACCTGCCGGGCCAATGCTGAGCTTTTGTTCTGAGCTGACTTGACTGCAATGACTTCTTGAGGAGTGTCCCAGCTCAAGTATCTTTTAAAAGAATGAAGCAAAGTTTATTCATGTGTGTGTGTGTTGCGGGGGGGAGTGGTGTTCTTTATACTTCAAATCAAAATATAATAAATATTTTATAAACTTTTTAGTTATTTAAGTTATAAAAGCAATTTATTTTAAAAACAAATAGCTATAAGAATTCCTTACCAATCCTTATATAAATATATTCTTATAAAAAAATATAATTTTAATCCTTCCAGAGTTTTGATAAATAAAAATGATTTGATCTAACAGTATTCCAAACTTAGAAAACAAAATAACCATTCCTGCTTTAAAACGGAAGTTATAAAACACATGAAAAATGTTACTTTTACATTCTGAATACACATACTCCAAAAATTTACATCTAATTTATAAAACTATTAGTTTAATTTTAACAGTTCTTAGATTGTACTAGGCAGGTAATTTAACTGAAACAAATTAGCTTTCAGGAAATCTACCATAAAGTGCATCCTATATTACAATATTTGTAGATGGAAAACACAATAATTTTTTAAAAGTTTATCTGCCAACTACTATAGGTTAGTTACTAATGAGGATACAAAGAAAATTATAAAGGGTCTCTATCCTTAGATCTTCAAATGTAGTCATGTGGAAAAAGAACAGGCTTGGAAATCAAGATCCAGGTATACAATGGAACACTTCATAAAAAAAAAAAAAAGAAAAGAAAAAAGCATTGAATATCCTGGGCCACAAGTCTCAAATTTTTATAACAAAATATTGAATAATAAAGTCACAAAAAATACCTGAATTTGCAATACGAAGCAAGATATATTTTCTCGAGGACTTTCCCCGTCGTTGCTGATATACGAAGTAGCCAGTTATGAGCAGTCAGTGCTATGAGTGAGGATTTATAATCTGATGGATTGGGCAGCAATTCCCCCTTAAAAAATGAGATTTAAAACTGAAAGTACTTAGCCAAAGAGAATAGCTAAAAACTTAAAGAAATAGTCAAATAAGTAAACTAAAGAAGAAATAGTAAATGCTCAAATACACAAATAGAGAATTAAGACAAAGAAAGATAAGATTGTGGGTAATTTTTCTTTTGGTGGTTATTATTTTTTAATTGAATTTATTGGGGTGACATTGGTTAATAAAAGTATATAGGTTTCAGGGATATAATTTGTGGGTAATTATTTTCATCATTAACTTATTAAGTGAGTTTATTAATATAAAGCACTTAAACAGTACCTGAAATAACTTATTACTTATTAATCATTACTTATCATTAAGTATTCAATGAATGTTAATCAATCATCATAATAGTAGGAGTATTACTAATGATACTGCTGTGATAAGGATGGTAACAATAATAAGTTCTTAAAACCATTAAGAATAGCATAGCAATTAAGAGCCATCCCTAGAATAGATGTTTCTTTAAGACTTGTTTTCCTTTTGATGGAAGTCAGAATGGCAAAAGGGCAAATGACCCTATTATTCACTGTGGCTGTACTCTAACTCCAAATGCAAAGCTATAACCCAGAATCAAAGCCACCAGAGACGAACAGAAGATAGACCTGGTTTCTAAGATAACCTAGATCACTAAGGAATTATACACCAAAAAGCAAGAGAGGATAGCTGCTTGGTGTACCTGCCACTAAAGAGCTACCACAAGGTGGAAGTCTAAGGCAGGAAGAGAAAGAAAGTAAAAGGTTCTACTTTGATTTATGGAATAAAAAAGAAGTTCTAAGAGGACAGTTAAAAATAGACAAGTTAAAATTAATCTAGTATTTGCTTAGGATGTAAGTAAACAAACAAAACACATTTAAAGAGGAAGGCATTTTATACATGCTCCCAAAGATTTGTCTTCCCTTTCAAATGTTAGGAAAAGAAATGAGGTATTTTTGTTTTTGTTTTCTTTTAATAAATTTTTTATTCTATGGTGTGCTATATAAGTATCATCTCATGGAGATTTTAAAGTTTTTAACAATGTACTGTGTATACCTTGCCTATTAAAAAAAAAAAAAGAATATGAAGGAGCCTATATAATAGGTTTGAGCTATTTTTCTAAACCAAAAGTTATATTCCACACATTGTCTCAGAAAAGAATGGTGCTAATTTAAATAGTTTCACATCAGTATGTTAAAAACAACACAATATGCTTCTTAATGAAAATCTTGCTTCAAATCAGAACAAAATGTTTAACAAGAAGTGAGACTAGGAATTAGAATACCTGAAACTCTAATTTTATAGAACTGCTCTAAATTTTTGGTGCTTTGTACAGGTGTCTTCAAACTTTTCTCAATTAAGAAACTTGTCATCATCCTGCCTGCACCAATGAAAAGGGACGAAAAAGGCTTTTGATGTTGGGGCACAACAGTTATTTTTAGCTTTCAATAAGGAGTTGGGGAAGAAAACATAGATTTAAAGCTTTCTGATTTTTAAAATGGAGACTTTTATGTACAGAAAATAAGTGTCCAGGAAAAAAGAGCAATAGCTACAGAAAACTATAATTTTGTGTAAAAACTGTGTTTAAAAAAATAATTTTAATAGTACATTCAAAGTATAGCCTTCTTATCCTTTAAACATTATTTTTGGTCACATCTTGGGAGTTCTATTTTTCCTAAAGAACAACCAACCAGATTGAAAGACCTGGTTAATTTGTTGCAGTATTTCCTAAGTGCATTTCTTAGTACACTGATCCCTTGGAAGACTAATATTTAGAAATATACCTTAAAAAAAGTAAGTTCTATGATCATTATTGTAAGTATTATTACTATTTAAAGCTCTGAGAACTAATTCTATAAATTTGTTCAATCTTTTAAACTCAGAATATCCCAAACTTATTTGTCTACAACCCAATTCCTCCAACCTCCTTTAGCAACTATAAAATATTAACATCTGCCTTGGTCAGTTTGGCTCAGCAGTTAGAGTGTTGGCCCAAGGACCAAACATTCATGGGTTTGATTCCAGTCAAGGGCATATACCTAGGTTGTGGTTCGATTCCCAGCCCTGGTCAGGGTCGTGTGGGAGGCAACCAATCAATGTGTCTCTCTCACATCGGTATTTCTCTCTCTTCCTCCTTCCCTCACTCCCATTCTATCTGAAAACCAATGGAAAAATATTCTCAGGTGAGGATTAAAAATAAATAAATAAAATATTAACATCTAATGAAAACCGTGTTCTGAAAAATACACACTGGGCAATGCTGGTCTACTGAAATGAGCTTATAGTATTATTATCATTTATTTTATTGATTTTAGAGAGAAAGAGGGGGAGAGAAAAGAAGGGAGAGAGAAAGAAACATCAATTTGTTTTTCCACCTATTTATACATTCGTTGGTTGATTTTTCATGTGCCCTGATCAGGGATCAAACCTGTAACATTGGTGTATCAGGATGATGCTCTAAACAACTGAGCTATCTGGCCAACGCCTGATAACTTTTTTATTTTAGGATTTTCCTAACAAGACTCCTAGAGGAAAATCATAAGAATCCCCTTTCAGTCACGAAACATAATTGTTGCCCATAACATATAACATAATACGTAACAAAATATTTTGTTTCAGTATAGTAAGTAGAATATTTCTTATACACTAAGAATAACTATAGCCCTGGCCGGTTTGGCTCAGCGGTTAGAGCATCGGCCTGCGGTACAGAGAGACCGGGTTCGGTTCCCGCTAAGGGCACGTACCTGGTTGCAGTTTGTCCCCGGCCCTGGTTGGTCGTGCGGGTGGCAGCCACTCGATGTGTCTCTTTCACATCGATGTTTCTCTCTCTCTCTCTCTTCCTCTCTCTCCCTCCCGCTCTGTCTGAACAAAAAAATGCAAAAATGTCCTGGGTGAGGATAAAAAAAAAAAAAAAAAAGAATAACTATAAACTAGTTTTTATTTCTTATGGAACTTTTAATCAGTGCATAACGTTTTCTAATTTTCAAGATTTACAAATGGTATTGAATTTTTAAAATATATTTATAATATTATCTCAATGAGGAAAAATAATAAAGGATAAACTCTCTTGACTCCTTTCAAGATTCAGGAATCACTATGATATTTAAATTTTATTCCCTTATACAATATATTAACAACAATCAGTTCTAGGCTAAAAATCTTTAGAAATAAATGTCTAAAAACAAATCTTACCACTGGGCATTCCCATAATAAAGCATCCTCTATTTTTTCTGATTTGGAACATTTTGGCATTTCATAAAGTTTTCTTGGCTCTAATGCAACACTGGAAAAAAAGAAAAGAAAAAGAAAAGATTAATGACTATTCATATTGATAACTGAGAGAGTGTCTACTCAGGTTTGAGTGATTTTTTAAAAATTTTATCCAGAGATTTAGACTACCAAAATACAATTTACTAGTTTGCCTTCCTCCTCTTAATTACCTGTTAACATTTTTTCTGATCATAAAATTCATAATACATATTCATAGAAAATAGTCTTTAAAATATTGCCCTGGCTGGTTTGACTCAGCAGTTAGAGCGTCGGCCCGTGGGTTCAATTCCAGTCAAGGGCACGTACCTCGGTTGTAGTTCGTCCCTGGCCCTGGTCAGGTCATGCAGGAAGGCAACCAGTCAATGTGGCTCTATCACATCGATATTTCTCTCTGTCTCTCTCTCTCTCCCTCCCACTCTATCTGATAGTAAGTAGAAAAATATCCTCAGGTGAGGAATTAAAAAAAAATTTATATAAATATATAAATAAAATTTGGCCCAGTTGGTGTAGCTCAGTGGTTGAGTGTCGTCCCATGCACCAAGAGGTCGAGGTCAATTCCTGGTCAGGGGACATACCCAGGCTGTGGGCTCAGTCCCCAGACAGGGGTGTGCAGGAAGCAGTTGATTAATGTTTTTCTCTCATTGATGTTTCTCTCTCTCTCTCCCTCTCCCTCCCCCTTTCTTTAAAAATCAATTTAAAAAACATAAAAGAATACATAATAAAATTTAAATAATTTCTACTGTAAAAATACCAAGAATAATCACACTTAACATTTTAGTTCATTTCCCTCTAGTTTTTCTTTATATACATTTACCTACCTGCAGGTCATTTTCCAAAACAGGATCATGAACATTTACAATGAATATCTCAGTTGAATTCCATGGTGCTCATATTTGTTACTCCAATATTTTTATTTTTATTTTTTAAATGAAAATTAATTAAAGAGTTCCATTATTTTAGAATGAAAATTAGTGGCTAAAAAAAGAAACACCCTTTAAGGTTTGTTTACTCCCAAAATGCCTTTCATAAAGGCTGAACAAATTTATATTTCTGCCAATATTAAACACTATATTTTTTATGTGAAAAATAGTCTCTTACTTTTAGTTTATACTTTTTTGATTACTACTGAAATGTGCTCAGAGATGTTTTCATTTTTTAACTGATGAACTTTAAAATTAAACTACTATTTAGAACTTTGAGGGTAACAATTTTCACCTTTGATGTTCTCTCACTGATTCAAAGGTTTAAATCAAACAGAATTTCACAGGAATGAAAGCAACTTCATACATATATGATTCTAACCTATTGGAAAAACACTCCTGAATGGCATATTAAAGAGCTCCAATACTATTTACCAAACAATGTTACTTCCACTAATGTAATTTTTAAAAAATTAAAACAGATACCTCTAAATTGGGAAAGCTATGAATTGGCATTAAATGATACCAAAAAAATTACTGCTCATTTTGCTAGGTATGATGACATTATGATCATACAAGAAAATGTTCAGATTGCCTCTTCCAACATGATAACATGAGGAGCTCTGAGGGTGTGCTCCCTAGGAAAATTGGTATAAATTATAAAAGGACAACTCTTATGAAGTCTCTGGAAATGGACTTGGGGGCATACAGCAAATGAAGAAATATTTAGTCATGAAAATCTACTAGTCAGTAAGAATAGTGAGTCTGTGGTCATTGAATTAGGATGTGCTCCCTCCTCACTATTCTCAGCTTAGCAAGACAAAAATTCCACTCCAGACTAATACAGCCAAGAGCACAGGGCTCCCTCTACCCCAGCTCCCAGAAGGCTACCTTCCTGAAGGGCAGCATTTATTATCCAGCTCCCAATATTTGTTGCGGGGGCTGAGTCCTGGATGAATAAAGTCAAGAGACAGAGTTCCCTTCTTCTGCCTAGCCCATACTCATGGGACAGAGTTCTTTCTACCTTGGGTGTGGCATGCCTAAAAACACTGGAGTCTAGGTTTGTCTTATCCCATCTCATAAAGCAGTGGTTCCACATGGAGAAAGCAAGAATATCTGAGGATAATGCCTGCTCCAACCTCAAGTGCTCAACTTTTAGAGTAGTCACTCAGAGAGAAGCATGTCAGTTACATCCCCCTACCCCAGCAGCTCCAGAGCCTTGACTCAAAGATTTTGCCTAGGGGAAGAAGCAGGTCAAGAAGCAGATAGCCCCTAGTGACTTCATCTGCAACAGAGTGTGGAAAAGTTCCAGTCTAAGTGCACTCTTAAAACCAATGAAGACTGTGATGAAAGAATGGGAAGAGATTGGTAGATTCACTGGCCATATAGGCTAAACTGTAAGCAGGCTAACTTGCCTGAGAGAACCAGAAAAAGAGCCCTCCTGAGTCAGAACAAATTGAAAGCACTGTCTAAAAAATTATCCTAACTTCTGGTTTCTGGTCCAACATGGAAAGAGCTTGGAAGTCATGCCACCTGTCCTCACTACAAGGGGGAAAAAGTGAACAAACTCTTATATTCATCAAGCAATTGAGGTCACAGGGTAAACTGTAGCTCCCAATGCTAGGAAGTGAGGTAGATACCAAGAATCACATCTTACCAGGAACAAAACCCAGGAGCAAGATGCTGGAGTCAGTACTGGGGAGACAAAAATGAGGATACTAGAGAAAATTTTAGACTCTGACATCTAAAGCTACAGCAAACAACAAACACAGCCTAACTCCTAGCCAGATAAATATAAAACCTCACTCTAAAGACCTATTTGCCACAATTCCTTTTACCTGATACATCACATACAACTTTCAAAAAAATTACAAGACATGCTAAAATACAAAGTTTGAAGAGATAAAGTAAGTATCAAAATCAGACTCAGATATGGTGAACATACTGGAATTTAGAGTGGGAATTTATTGGTAATTTAGAATCTGGAATCAGATTGGGAACTTAAAATAACTATGATCAGTATGCTAAAGGCTCTAGTGGAATAAGCAGATAGCATGCAAGAACAGATGGGTAATAAAGCAGAGGTTTAAAAAAAAAGCCTAAAAAAAAAATCAAAAGGAAATGCTAGAAATCAAAAGTTAGGGTTAACACAAATGAAGAATGTCTTGGATGGGCTCATCAGTAGATAAGACACAGCCAAGGAAAGAACCAGTGAGCTTGAAGATATGTCAACAGAAACTTCCCAAACTATAAAGTAAAAGAAAAAAAAAGTGAGAAAAACAGAACATCCCAAATTGGAGGGTGGGGGGAGCAGAACAGAATATCCAAGAACTATGTGACAACTAGAAAAAATGTAATGTACACATAATGGGAATACCAGAAGGAGAAGAGATAACAAAACAGAAGAAACACTTGAAATAATAATGGCTGAGAATTTTCCAAAATTAATGTTAGATATCAAGTCACAAAATCAGGAAGCTTACAGAATACCAATAATAATAAATACATACCCCCCTCCCCCAAATCTATACTAGGCATATCATATTCTAATTATAGAAAATGAAAAACAAGAAACATCTCAAAAGAAGCTGGGGGGGGGGGGGGAGCACCTTACCTATGGTGGAACAGGATAAGAATTATATTGGATTTCTCTTTAGAAACCATGCAAGCAAATAGAAAATGGAGCGAAATACTGAAAGTAATAAAAGAAAAAACCTCACCAACCAAAATTTTTATATCCCAAGAAATTATCCTTCAAAAGTCAAGGAGAAATAATACTTTCTCAGACAAATAAAAAATGAGGAAACATGCTGCCAGTAGAAGACCTGCCTTATAAGAAATTTTTAAAGAAGTTCTTCAGAGAAAAGAAAAATGATATGGGTCAGAAATTTTTTTTTTTTTATCCTCACCCGAGGACATTTTTCCATTTTTTGTTCAGATAGAGCGGGAGGGAGAGAGAGGAAGAGAAAGAGAGAGAAACATCGGTGTGAAGGGACACATCAAGTGGCTGCCACCCGCACGACCAACCAGGGCCGGGGACAAACTGCAACCGAAGTACATGCCCTTAGCGGGAACCGAACCCGGGTCTCTCTGTACCGCAGGCCAATGCTCCAACTGCTGAGCCCAACCGGCCAGGACTGGGTCAGAAATTTTTAAAGAAGTTCTTCAGAGAAAAGAAAAATGATATGGGTCAGAAACTCAGATCTACATTGAGAAAGGAAGAGTGTTAGAGAAGAAATAAATGAAGGTAAAACAAAATCTTTTATTCTTCTTATTCCTAATAACAGATAAAAACTTGTCAATAATAGCCCTGGCCAGTTTTGCTTAGCAGTAAGAGTGTCCGCCCACGGACTGGAGAGTCCTGGGTTCAGTTTCCACTGAGGGCACGTACCTCAGTTGCGGTTTGTCCCCGGCCCATTGGGGTCATGTGGGTGGCAGCCACTCGATGTGTCTCTCTCACATCAATGTTTCTCTCTCTCTTCCTCCCTTTGTCCCTCCCACTCTATCTGAAGATAAATGCAAAAATGTCCTTGGGTAAGGATAAAAAACAAACAAAAAACTTGTCAATAATAATAGCAACAAGGTAGCCAGTGATTATAACTTATGGATAAGTAAACTGAATGACAGCAATGTTATAAAAGGCAGTTGGGAAGAATTAGAAATACTCTATTATGAGGTAGCTGCATTATCTATGAAGAGGTCCAGTTACCTGAAAGAAATTTAGATTAGATGTAATGTATATTACAAAGTTATAAGGCAATCACTAAAAATTTAAAAAAGAAGTATATTTGATATGCTAAGTAGAGGGAAAATGAATCACATAAAATGCTCAATTAAAACCAGAGGAAGCATAAAAAAAAAAAAAAAAAAAAAGACAAAAAGGGGAATAAAGAACAAAGGCAATGCATAGAAAATAATTACTAATATGGTTAAGTATTAAACCAACTATATCAATAATCACTGTAAATATAAATGGTCTAAATATACCCATTGAAAGACAGAGGCTGTAAGAGTGGATTGAAAAAAACAAGACCCGCCCTGGCCGGTTTGGCTCAGCGGTTGGAGTGTCGGCCTGCGGTACAGAGAGACCCGGGTTCGGTTCCCACTAAGGGCATGTACCTCCGTTGCAGTTTGTCCCCGGCCCTGGTCGGTCGTGCGGGTGGCAGCCACTCGATGTGTCCCTTCGCATCGATGTTTCTCTCTCTCTCTCTTCCTCTCTCTCCCTCCCGCTCTATCTGAACAAAAAATGGAAAAATGTCCTTGGGTGAGGATAAGAAAAAAAAACAAAAAAAACAACACCCAAATGTATGTTGTCTACAAAAAACAAAAAACACTTTAAATATAAAGACATAGATAGGGTAAAAGTAAAGGGATAAAGATACACCATTCAAACACTAATCAAAAGAAAGTTAGACTAACTATATTAATTTCAGACAAGGCAGACTTCAATGAGGAAAATTATTAGGGATAAAGAGTGGCCTTACATAATGGTAAAAGGGGCACTTCTTCAAGACATAAACATCCTTAATATGAATGCATCTAACAACAGAGTATCAAAATGTGTGAGACAAAAACTGATAGGACACAATGAGAAACAGATGAATCCATTATTATAGATGGACATTTCAACACAACCTCTGTGGTAACTAACAAATCCAGCAAGCAGAAAGTCAGTAATAATATATTTGAACTGAACAATACCATCAGTCAACTTCATCTAACTGGCATCTATGGAACTTTATCCAACAGCATCAGAATACACATTCTTCTCAAGCTCACATGAAAAAACCACCAAGATAGACACAATCTGGGCCATAGAATACATTTTAACAAATTTAAAAAACTAAAAAATAATAAAGTATGCTCTCAGACCATAGTGGAATTAAATTAGAAATCAGTAACAGAAAGATAGCTGAAAAATCCCAAATATGTGAAGATTAAACAACACACTATTAAGTAACATGAGTAAAAGAAGAAATCTCAAAATGTAAAAATATTTTGAATAAAATGAAAACAAATATATATCGACATTTGTGGGATGCAGCAAAAACAATGCTTAGAGGGAAATATATAGTTTTAAATGTGCAGGGAGTGGCGGGCAAAAGTAGGTTTACAGTTGCTCATAAAATAATACAATAATTAATAATACAAATAAACTCTGCGTTTTGCATACTCCGGACTGTAAATCTTCTTTTGCCCACCCCTATACATATGAGAAAAGACGAGGAGCTTCTGGGTTGGTGAGCATGTGAAGATTCAGGGAGCATGGAATCTCCATGCCCCTTCCCACATACCTTGCCCTATGCATCTCTTCCACCTGGCTGTTCCTTCTATAACAAACTGGTAATCTAATAAGAGGCCAGTCACAAAAGAATAATTCAATTTCTATGAAACAGATGAATCTATAAAGACAGAAAGTAGATCAGCAGTTGCTTAGGGCTGAGGGTGATGGAGGAATTGAGGTGATAACTAAAAAGTATAGGGTTTCTTTCTGAGGTAATGAAAATGCTCTAAAATTAACTGTAGTGATGGTTGCCTATATGAACCACCAATAGTGCATCAAATTCATATTAATTAAATCTAAATCTCAATGAACCAAAAAATATTGAACTGTATATTTTAAGTGAGTAAATTGTATGATATATGAATTATATCTTAATAAACACATTACCCCTGGCTGGTTTACTCAGCAGTTAGAGCATCAGCCCAAGGACTAATGAGTCATGGGTTGGATTCTGGTCAAAGGCAGGTACCTCGGTTGCAGTTCAGTTCCCAGCCCTCGTGGGGATCGTGCAGGAGGCAACTAATTGATGTGTCTCTCTCACATCGATGTTTCTCTCTCTACCTCTCCCTCCCACTTTGTCTGGAAATAAATGAAAAAATATCCTTGGGTGAGGATTAATAAAAATAAATAAAGACATTAAAAAAGAAAATGCCCATGTTTTAGAGAAGCAAACTTAATATAGCATGATGTTTACGATATGCTTTAAAATTCTTTGCAAAGAGATAAAGGAAAAGGGAGAGGATGGGATAGATAAAAATGTAACAAAATCGTGGCAGCTTTTGAATCTCAATAACAAGTACATGTAAGTTCACTATACTATTCCCTACTTGAACAAATTTGAAAATTTCCTTTTAAGCAATAAAAGGCAAGTATTTCCACAACAAAACATACAATCTTCTCTAAGGCAGCATCTAATTATTAGGTACCTGGCTCTCTTGACTCTGTTATCTTTTAAGCAGAATAAAATACTACACAGTACACTGAGAGCAATTTATCATTTTGTTTGCACTACCAAGTAATTTCACTTTAAATGGTATTTACAAAGATGAAACCTGTAACTTTAGATTTAACAAGATTTTCAAATTACACGCATTTTACCACCTATTTTGGACACATTTTTCCATTCTCCTCTTTCACTAAGCTCTAATGTAGGCATGTGGTTCTATGAAAACTACTGTTAAGATCAACAGTGAGGTGGATTACAGAAAAAAAAAAATCCCAAAATATACCTGCTGACACAGCACCGATAATTATCAAAATATATTCTTCCTCTCTCATAGGCTATAGGTGACTTGGAATGAGTAGTCCAAACATTCTTAAATTTAGTACTTTCCTGAAAGACACAAAGAATTTCGGTTTAGGAAGTAACTCATAAGCCTCTACTGTGCACCAATTTTATGATGGATAGTTACATTTAGGGTTTTCAAAGACATTTCACGTACGTAATTTAAGAACATGTTCAATTCTTCCTCACTGCCTCACTCTCACGTTTTGCTTTAAGTGGGGTAACCGTTTAGAAAGCTTGTTTGTAGGAAGAAACAAGCAGCTCAAAAAACTAAAAGCATCAGGTCGTCCTCTCAATACCTATTTACTTAACCCCTAGGTTCAGGGCATCGATGCCCCTTTCCATCACAAATAACCTTCTTAAAAGGGGGCTCTACCGAATAAAAGCTGCACCCCGGAATGCTTGACCACCTGGCGCCTCGCAGCCCTTCGTCCCGCTCCCCGCCAGCAGGCGGTCACCTGGCACACCAGCGCCCGCAGGATGCCCAGGTTCGTCCTCTGCACCACGCCTGCGTCGCTCGAGAAGAAGCCCAGCGCCCGGCGACTCAGCCGCTGGCACACGTTGGGCTTCCGGGCTGGGCCCATAGGGGCACGGGCCGCGCCGCCGGGCTGGCCCGGCCGAAGAAGGGTGCACCCCTAACTTCCGCGCGGTGCGGCCGGCCGACACCTCGGAATCTAGAGGCTCCCAACTTCCGGAGGGGACTAGGAAAAACTAACACGGGGGCCGGACAGCGGGGCACACGGCAGTGGGGCAAGGAAGACAGCTGTTGCCGCCTGAGCACCAAGGAAAGGGAAGGAAAAGACTCTCCACTTTACGGCCTGTCCCCCACACGCTCTCCGGCTCTGGCCCCGACTGCAGACTGCGTCGCCCCCGTAACGCGCGGCCTGCCGCGGCCGTTCCCTCCTCGGGAAATGTAGTCCCCGGTGTCCTCTGAGGGAGCCGGGCTTGTTCCCAGAACTACAGTTCCCATCAGGCGGCAGGTACCGAGCACCGGCTCCGGCCGCCCGTCCAACCCTCCGCGGCCCCGCCCCGCCCCGCCCCGCCCCGCCCCGCCCCGCCCCGCCCCGCCCCCTCTGACCGGGCGGAGGCTGCGCCGTGGGGCTGGCGCGCCTTTCCGGTGTGCGCGCGGCGCGGCGCGGTGCTGCACCCCCGCCCCCGTGTGCCCCGCACTCAGGCAGCTGTCTCGGGCCGCCCGGGTACCCCCACGCCTCTCAGCCCCTGCCTTTCGCTGGGGGAGGCGCCGTGTCGAGTGCGACCCCCCAAAGCAGCGTCCTGTGCTAAAGGTACGCCCCGCGGCTTTCCCTTCAGGACCAGGTTGGACGATGTGGATGAGGTTAAAGGTTAAAAAGTTCGGGTCTGTAAACCCTGTGTTTTTGTGTCATGAGTTAGTGGTGGAAGATGCTAGGCATTTCCACCAAACTAGGGTGAAATTACTCTTTCCGAGAGCCCCGCCTTTCTGCGGTGTGCGAGGGCACAGGCTGGTTTTGCGATCATTGCTGCATTTTCCTTCCTCCCCGCCCCCCGTAATGGGAATAAAATGTGAACTGTTACATTCTTATTGGACTGCCTAAGATATTCCACGTTGATTCCTTTAAGTAAAACTAAAATAAAATATCTAGCCCTGCCTGCAGAGTCAAAGTTCCCACTGCACTACATGTTCCGCAATCATGCACCAGGTGTGTCCCATTGCTCAGCTTGTGAGTCCCTTGATAGTGCTGTCTTTGCATCTCCCACGTGGACCTGGCCTGCTACCTCGTGTTCAATTCATAGGCGAGGGAGAGATGAATACTTAGTGGGTGCGTTGGGTCACAAGGTATTTAGTAAAAATTTGCCATATCTCTTTTTAACCCTGCTGAATTTCCTTTAGGGCCTGGGCTTTTGCTGATTTTTCATAACTTATTTACAGCATACTGTGGAGTGCTTTGTGTATTTTTAGACAGTGCTATAATAGTTAATTTGGTAATTCATGAATGCAGCTGTCACTGAGAAATCGGGGACTCAGAAGAGATAAGTGGATTTTCTTTGACTGAAATGAAATTCAAATCATTGCTAAATTGATTCCATCATCTCTTTTCTCTCTCCTTCCCCCTGATGGCCACTTGTTTGTTTTCCTGTGGTATTTACCTCACCACCAAGTCACCCAAAGGACAGTTATCCTAGATGCCTTCATTTTCTTCACCCACAACCAAGTCCTTTGGATTCTAACTCTTGTCCATCTCCTCATCATACTGCCTGAGTAATTTAGTCTCATCATTTTATCACATTATGTTATTAACAACTTCCTTTCTGCCTTGAATACTTTCAGTTCCACCCTCTACACTGCTGCCAGAGTGAGTTTCCTAAAGCACAAATCTTCCATTTCTCTATTAAAATCTTTGAGTGGTTCCCAATCACCCAGAGCAGAATTTCTCAAACCCAACTAGATACCCAGGACTCTTTATTGTTAAATTAACCTATTTTCAGAATGTTAAATATATACAAATATAAAACTATATATAAATTTCTTATGTTGTTTCTTTTATGCAACTATAACATATACATAGTTATAAGTTAAATGAAGCAAAACTATAAAAAAATAAATTCAAATGAATACTTATCATTGTTACCAATGAGACTGGTTTTACCAGGCCTAACACACTCTACAAGCGAATGTTTCCTGTCCTCCATGTTGTAACTTCCTTATAGAAAGGCCTGTCCATACTGTCTTTGTGTTGAGAACTCATTCAATGCCCTCACCTCTTTTCTTTATTTAAAATACTGTAAAATGTTCTTTCTTCATTGTCATGATTTCATTTGACCTTCACTTGACAAAATCATTTACATACAGTAGTCCCCATTGCTTTCTCATTAACCTATGCCAGTGACAAATGGTGCCACCTGTTTACCAGTGCACTCCTAAACACAAACGTGAACTGAAATCTTGTGACAGTAATCGATTAAAAGGTGGGCATCCAGGTGATTCAAAGTGTCCTTCTGTTAAGAAATTTTTTTTTTTAGATTTTTAAAATCAAACTGAAAAAAAGTTTCTCTAAGAGAAATCTCTTAGCCTTTAGGCTACATATATGAATCCCTAGGGGTCTGTATGGGTACCTTATAGAACAAAATCTGAATCCCTTAGCGTAGTATACAGAATACTCTATTATCGGCATCTTGCCCACATTTTCAGCCTCATCTCTTTTCCACCCTTCACATTTGCTCTCATGGTCCTAATATGTTGCTCACTTGCTCAAGCCAGCCCTTTACTTTTCAAATTGTCTTTGTCTGGAGCTCCCTTCCTCTCCTTCTCTTATCTGTGTATCTCTAGACTCATCCCAGGTATCACAGCTCCACTCAGACACTTTTCCTGACCTCTACACTTTAGTTATATCCTTGCCCTCTTCTAGCATGTTCTACATATGTTGGTTGTGGCACTATATAAGAATTGTCCTTTGACTTTCCACCATTGTTTTTAGGGTAGTCCATTCATTTATTCAACATACATATGCATTAACTATATTTTAGGCATTGTACTAAGGACACATATGTATGTTGAATGAATGGATCACTCTAAAGACAATGTACAGAATCTTTTATCAGCAATTAAGTACTTTTAACATAGATGCATATTTTGTCTCCCTTTACTCTTTAAATCAATAGGAAACCACAATATTAATAAGAAGAAATAACTTTATAAAAACTTAAATCCCAACAATTCTACCTGTAAAGTAGATGTTTTCCACTTGTTGAAGGTCAAATGGCATGAACAGATGTCCCTAGTTTAGGATTTGGAAATGACTTCTCTTAATTTTGGGCATAGAACAAACATTAGTTCCTTTTATTCCAGTCTGTGTCTATGTGATGTTTACAGAATACTTAACCATCTTTGCCATGATGTTTTATTTTTTAATCCTTATCTGAAGATATATGTATACTTTTAATTGATTTTTTTAAGAGAGAGAGATGAGAGAAACATCAATTGGCTGCCTCCCATAGGAACCCCAACGTGCCCAAACTGAAGATCAAACCCGAAACCTAGGTATGTGCTCTGACTGGGAATCAAACTTGCAACCTTTTTGGTGTACTGGATGATGCTCCAACCAACTGAGCCACTTGGCCAGGGCTGCCATGATATTTTAAAGACAAGGAAAAAGACATATGAAATCAGAAGTTAATAAAATGCTTTCTGTTTATGTGTTTTGTTTAAAGAAGCATAGTATAAACACAAATATATAAACTACTCAAGTTATTAAACTTGATCATTTGTTCAGAGACCAAAAAATCTGAATCAAGGCCATAAGAGGTCATTCATTCAACATGTAATTATTTTCGTACAATGTACTGGGTACTATTTTGGCATAGAGTATAACAGTAAACAGGATTGACAAGGTCCCTACATATTGGGGGAAATAGATAAGAGAATAAATAAATACATTTAAAAAATAAGATTTCAGGTAGTAATAAGTGTAGTGAAGAATGCAAAACAGAGTGATGTGCTTGATAGAGTGGTGGGAGCCCTGCTTTAGCCAAAGTGGTCAGGGAAGACCTCTATGAATATTGGACTTGGAGTTGAACCCTGAATGATGAGAAATAATCAATCTGTAAAGAACTAAAGTGAGAATAGTCCAGATAGAGAGATGCTTGCTTGAATGCAGTGTCCCCAAGGCAATAACAACTTTGGCTTACTTTAAAATGGTCAGAAGGCCAGTGTGGCTTTTCGTTGTGCATGAGCGAGATGAACTTGGAGAGGTAGGCTGGGAATAAGTTATTTCAGATGTAAAGAATTTCATATTTTATTCTGTTATAATGGGAAGCCATCTGAAGGAGAGTGACATGATTTAATTTTTATTATAATAAGATTTCTATGGCTATAGTATACAGGTGTACTGGGGGGAGCAAGAATGGAAGCAAGGAGACAGGTGACTGTTCCATTGGTCCAGGTGAAAGATGATAGTGTTTGGACTGGCGTGCTAGCAGGAGAGATGGAAAGAAGTGAAGAGATTCAGTATATATGTTAGAGGTAAAGGTGACAGGAATTCTAATGTAGTGGGTATTAATGATGAAGAAAAAAAGATTCAAGTAAAGCAGAACCACAAATAAACATCCCCCAATTCCCCAGAACAAATGAAAAACAAAGAGTACTCAAGATGCAGTGTTGCCCTGGCCATTTTGGCTCAGCGATTAGAGTGTCGGCCTGTAGACCAGAGAATCCTGGGTTTGGTTCCCACTAAGGGCATGTATCAAAAAAAAAAAAAAAAAAGAAGATGCAATGTCAATGAAACAGTGCCTAGATTTTATTAACTGTACACATTAGTATTTTAGACATTAATACTAGAGAATGTTAGGATCTGTTCTGTGGCTGGGGCATGTTGGAAGAGGGGAATAAAATCAGGTCCCAGAAGTAGGCAAGGGTCAGATCATGTGGGATCATGATAATCTGATGCAAAAATCATGAGTGATACAACATTCCTTTTAAGAGACAGTTGGGAACAGCATCAAGAACAAGGGTGAAATAGATCAGTTAGCAGGTAATTGTAGTAGTCCAGGTGAGAGTGACTTTTGGAAATTCCAAAATTATTGAGGCTTTTGATCACAAATTTGTTCTTACGTTTTTTTCTATATATATTTTAATTATATTTGTCAGAACATGTAACATGTTTATATATATATAAAATCCAGAAGGATTTAGGTTTAAAGGATTGATAGTAAAGTTTTTTAAAGTATTTTAATTATTCAAAGAATATGTATAATACATAATATATATGTATTATATATTACATAGCATAATATATAAATAATACTTATAAAACAAATACTCATATATCTATCATCAATTTAAAAAAACAAAAACAAAACCAGAACATTTCCTAAAACTTTGACATCTCTTGTGTGCCCCTCCTGGTTCCCAGATCCCTCCTTCCTTTTTATATAAATAAAATATTAAGTTTTTAATGATTTTGAACATTGTATAAATTGAATCATAGTGTATATATGTACTCTTCTACAGATTGCATATTTTTTTTTCCCAGCATTACACTTGACAAGTTACCTTAGTTTATTTCATTTATTTTTACTACGTTGAGTTATTTCATTGTATGAATTTACCACAGGTTATCCATTTTCTCTGGCTGGGCTTTAATGTCTTTCAGGTTTTTATTCCTAGAAAGGTGCTGCTATGTCTTAAACCCGCCTCCTGTTACACTTGTTAAAGTATATTTGTTTTCTATTGCTGTGCAACAAATTACCAAAAACATAGCAGCTTAAACCAATATTACTTATTATCCCTAATTTTTTTTTTCTACATGAA